CATCACTCCCTCTTACAAATCTAGAACATTCTGGTCCAGTGTCAGGTTACTTTGATCTGTGCAGTTAAGATTATGTTGTTGAACATGGTTTTATACTGTATCTATTGATACAATGTTTGACTTGAAGCAATAAAAATGTTGTATTAACATAATTTTTTGTGTGTTGAATGATTGGTAGTGAAGATGATTGGTAGGACTAAAAAAACTGAGTTGATAGAACTCAACTTGCAGATAACACTACAAAATCTGAGTTTGTAGAACTCAAAATCTATATGTCAAACTCATAAAACAAAGTTGATAGAACTCAGAACTTAAAGGTGAAACTCAAAAACCTAAGTTGGTAGAACTCAAAAATCTTTGTAAACTCAACCACAGTGAATTTAAGTAAGGAAAACTCAAAAAACCAAATGCATCACGTTGCCTAGAAAATTTAAGTTCTGTCAACCTCTATTTTTTTTTCAGTGCTCCATCCGGATCAGAACCAGAGCCTGCAGCTTTAACAGCTTCAAATCCACCGACCCGTCAGTGGAAAGTTGGCAGCTTCTATCCGCCGCCGATCACAGATACTGATTATTGATCCGCGTTCTGAGAACAAACATCAATAACTGCAGAGGACAGCAGGCGGCTGTATGCAGACTGCAGCGCCGACCAACCACAGCTGCTCTACTGGTTCTACTGGTTCTACTGGTTCTATAGGTTCTACAATAACTGCAGAGGACAGCAGGCAGCTGTAGACTGCAGCGCCGACCGACCACAGCTGCTCTACTGGTTCCACTGGTTCAATAGGTTCTACTGGTTCTATAGGTTCTATAGGTTCTACAACAGCAGAACCACAGCTGCTCTACTGGTTCTACAACAGCAGAACCACAGCTGCTCTACTGGTTTTACTGGTTCTATATGTTCTACTGATTATATAGGTTCTACAGGTTCTATAGGTTCTACAACAGCTGAACCACAGCTGCTCTACTGGTTCTACTGGTTCTACAACAGCAGAACCACAGCTGCTCTACTGGTTTTACTGGTTCTATATGTTCTACTGATTATATAGGTTCTACAGGTTCTATAGGTTCTACAACAGCTGAACCACAGCTGCTCTACTGGTTCTACTGGTTCTACAACAGCAGAACCACAGCTGCTCTACTGGTTCTACTGGTTCTACAACAGCTGAACCACAGCTGCTTTACTGGTTCTACTGGTTCTACAACAGCTGAACCACAGCTGCTTTACTGGTTCTACTGGTTCTACAACAGCAGAACCACAGCTGCTTTACTGGTTCTACTGGTTCTACAACAGCAGAACCACAGCTGCTCTACTGGTTTTACTGGTTCTATATGTTCTACTGATTATATAGGTTCTACAACAGCTGAACCACAGCTGCTCTACTGGTTCTACTGGTTCAATAGGTTCTACTGGTTCTATAGGTTCTATAGGTTCTACAACAGCTGAACCACAGCTGCTCTACTGGTTCTACTGGTTCTACAACAGCAGAACCACAGCTGCTCTACTGGTTCTACTGGTTCTACAACAGCTGAACCACAGCTGCTTTACTGGTTCTATAGGTTCTACAACAGCTGAACCACAGCTGCTCTACTGGTTCTACTGGTTCTACTGGTTCTATAGGTTCTACAATAACTGCAGAGGACAGCAGGCGGCTGTAGACTGCAGCGCCGACCGACCACAGCTGCTCTACTGGTTCTACTGGTTCTATAGGTTCTACAATAACTGCAGAGGACAGCAGGCAGCTGTAGACTGCAGCGCCGACCGACCACAGCTGCTCTACTGATTCTACTGGTTCTACTGGTTCTATAGGTTCTACAATAACTGCAGAGGACAGCAGGCGGCTGTATGCAGACTGCAGCGCCGACCAACCACAGCTGCTCTACTGGTTCTACTGGTTCTACTGGTTCTATAGGTTCTACAATAACTGCAGAGGACAGCAGGCAGCTGTAGACTGCAGCGCCGACCGACCACAGCTGCTCTACTGGTTCTACTGGTTCAATAGGTTCTACTGGTTCTATAGGTTCTATAGGTTCTACAACAGCAGAACCACAGCTGCTCTACTGGTTCTACTGGTTCTACAACAGCAGAACCACAGCTGCTCTACTGGTTCTACTGGTTCTACAACAGCAGAACCACAGCTGCTCTACTGGTTTTACTGGTTCTATATGTTCTACTGATTATATAGGTTCTACAACAGCTGAACCACAGCTGCTCTACTGGTTCTACTGGTTCTACTGGTTCTATAGGTTCTACAATAACTGCAGAGGACAGCAGGCAGCTGTAGACTGCAGCGCCGACCGACCACAGCTGCTCTACTGGTTCTACTGGTTCAATAGGTTCTACTGGTTCTATAGGTTCTATAGGTTCTACAACAGCAGAACCACAGCTGCTCTACTGGTTCTACTGGTTCTACAACTGCAGAACCACAGCTGCTCTACTGGTTCTACTGATTATATAGGTTCTACTGATTATATAGGTTCTACAGGTTCTATAGGTTCTACAACAGCTGAACCACAGCTGCTCTACTGGTTCTACTGGTTCTACAACAGCAGAACCACAGCTGCTCTACTGGTTCTATAGGTTCTACTGGTTCTATAGGTTCTATAGGTTCTACAACAGCTGAACCACAGCTGCTCTACTGGTTCTACTGGTTCTACTGGTTCTATAGGTTCTACAATAACTGCAGAGGACAGCAGGCAGCTGTAGACTGCAGCGCCGACCGACCACAGCTGCTCTACTGGTTCTACTGGTTCAATAGGTTCTACTGGTTCTATAGGTTCTATAGGTTCTACAACAGCAGAACCACAGCTGCTCTACTGGTTCTACTGGTTCTACAACAGCAGAACCACAGCTGCTCTACTGGTTTTACTGGTTCTATATGTTCTACTGATTATATAGGTTCTACAGGTTCTATAGGTTCTACAACAGCTGAACCACAGCTGCTCTACTGGTTCTACTGGTTCTACAACAGCTGAACCACAGCTGCTTTACTGGTTCTACTGGTTCTACAACTGCAGAACCACAGCTGCTCTACTGGTTCTACTGGTTCTACAACTGCAGAACCACAGCTGCTCTACTGGTTCTACTGGTTCTACAACAGCTGAACCACAGCTGCTTTACTGGTTCTACTGGTTCTACAACTGCAGAACCACAGCTGCTCTACTGGTTCTACTGGTTCTACAACAGCAGAACCACAGCTGCTCTACTGGTTTTACTGGTTCTATATGTTCTACTGATTATATAGGTTCTACAACTGCAGAACCACAGCTGCTCTACTGGTTCTACTGGTTCTACAACTGCAGAACCACAGCTGCTCTACTGGTTCTACTGGTTCTACAACAGCTGAACCACAGCTGCTTTACTGGTTCTACTGGTTCTACAACTGCAGAACCACAGCTGCTCTACTGGTTCTACTGGTTCTACAACTGCAGAACCACAGCTGCTCTACTGGTTCTACTGGTTCTACAACAGCTGAACCACAGCTGCTTTACTGGTTCTACTGGTTCTACAACTGCAGAACCACAGCTGCTCTACTGGTTCTACTGGTTCTACAACAGCAGAACCACAGCTGCTCTACTGGTTCTACTGGTTCTATAGGTTCTACAACAGCTGAACCACAGCTGCTCTACTGGTTCTACTGGTTCTATAGGTTCTACAATAACTGCAGAGGACAGCAGGCGGCTGTATGCAGACTGCAGCGCCGACCGACCACAGCTGCTCTACTGGTTCTACTGGTTCTACTGGTTCTATAGGTTCTACAATAACTGCAGAGGACAGCAGGCGGCTGTAGACTGCAGCGCCGACCGACCACAGCTGCTCTACTGGTTCTACTGGTTCAATAGGTTCTACTGGTTCTATAGGTTCTATAGGTTCTACAACAGCAGAACCACAGCTGCTCTACTGGTTCTACTGGTTCTACAACTGCAGAACCACAGCTGCTCTACTGGTTCTACTGGTTCTATAGGTTCTACAATAACTGCAGAGGACAGCAGGCGGCTGTAGACTGCAGCGCCGACCGACCACAGCTGCTCTACTGGTTCTACTGGTTCAATAGGTTCTACTGGTTCTATAGGTTCTATAGGTTCTACAACAGCAGAACCACAGCTGCTCTACTGGTTCTACTGGTTCTACAACAGCAGAACCACAGCTGCTCTACTGGTTCTACTGGTTCTACAACAGCTGAACCACAGCTGCTTTACTGGTTCTACTGGTTCTACAACTGCAGAACCACAGCTGCTCTACTGGTTCTACTGGTTCTACAACAGCTGAACCACAGCTGCTTTACTGGTTCTACTGGTTCTACAACAGCAGAACCACAGCTGCTCTACTGGTTCTACTGGTTCTACAACAGCTGAACCACAGCTGCTTTACTGGTTCTACTGGTTCTACAACAGCTGAACCACAGCTGCTTTACTGGTTCTACTGGTTCTACAACTGCAGAACCACAGCTGCTCTACTGGTTCTATAGGTTCTACAACAGCTGAACCACAGCTGCTTTACTGGTTCTACTGGTTCTACAACTGCAGAACCACAGCTGCTCTACTGGTTCTATAGGTTCTACAGGTTCTATATGTTCTACAATAACAAACTGGACCACAGCGCCTCTACGGGTTCTGCAGGTTCTACAATAACCCACAGAACCAGAGCAGCTCTCAGAACCAGCAGAAGTCCAGAACATAGAAAAGGAACCTTTAATGTTCACAGTCAGACCTGAACAGGTTCGGTCCAAATGGGCTCAACTTCTAATTCAGGAGATAAAAATAGAAATAATGTTTTCAGAAGCTGCATGTTCACTAAATCAACCAGATTCCTTCACTGGAAGTGCTTCCTGTCTTTGATCGGTTCTGATCGGTTCGGTCCAATCAGTCAGAGGATTTTAAAGGTTAATCATCCATTTAAAGCAGTTTAACCTGCAGAGATAACCGGTCGGTTCTGGTTCTGGTTCCGTGGGTTTCAGTGAGCCTCAGTCGGAACAGCAGAACCCACTCCGACCCACTCACCGTGGGGTCAGCCGCTCCGGGGATCCGCCGGGTCTCCACGGCCGAATCGGACTCGATCCACGCGGGTCCCGTGGACAGCGACAGAGCGTCCGATGCGCGCGCCGCGGTGCAGTTCGCCTCGTGGGGTCCACAGGAGGAGTTGGTGGTCCGCGGAGGCAGCAGAAGCAGCAGAGCGCTCCTCCCGCTCTCCATCCCTGCTCCTCCTCTACCTGTCTCTCTGCGCTGGGACACCAGGTGAGGACCTATGAGAGGACAGACAGAGCAGCAGGCTGATGGAGGACTCCTCCCTTCATGTCTTCTGGACTCCTGCAGCAGGTGGAGCAAAAAAAATGGTTTCAGCTCCTCTCAGGTTCTTCCTGTGACCTTAATCATCAGCTGGACATGAACCCTGAGAACAGCTGGTAGTAACACAGGGGCGGATTTAGGAAACCTGGGGCCCTAGGCAAAGACAGGCAGGGGCCCCTCTGAATGGAGAACACATAGATCAGCCCCATTCTCCAGATGTAGAAATGTTAATAGAATAGACATCCATTATCTGTTCTAGGTTGTGTCCCTCTCTTCTTGTCCCTTTTCGTCTTGTCTTCCTCTCTATGTTTTGTACTCAGCTGACTTTTCATGCTGTCTCTAAAGGAATGAAAGATTTTTTCCAAGCACTAAGCTCACTTAGCTGATTGCTCCTTCCTGTGTTTCCAAAAAGGCCAAAGTAAATAACCCAGTCCTTCTTTTCACTGTAGACAAGCCATGATCTGCTTATCTGTTCTCCATTTTTCATTTGGATGAAATAATAGCTGCATGAATCATGACAGCAGACAAGATAGAGGAGAGCAGGAGGCGGGGTTACCAATCTACTCGCTCTGGAGAGCAGAGTTCGCTGCTTTTAGATGTTGTCTCCAAAGTCTCCAGTAGCAGAAAAAAGTCTCTAGATTTGGCGCTAGGAGCTTTTTAGAAATCAAAGTGCTAGAGGGGTCTGAAAAGTGGCTAAATATAGCAACTAAATCCCCCCCCCCCCCCCCGACCAACTAATCTAATCTAGAGGTTTTTAACCTGTCTTATTGTTAAAAGGGAAAAGCAATGTGAATTGGTCTCTTTGACCAAATTGTTGGTTAGTTAGCGCAGCGCCTTCTGAGAATCAGTTGAATTGGAACCACTAGTTACTAACGGTTACATCGATTGGTTAAACTGAACCATTAATATGGTTCATGGTAAATAACTGTCCTCATTGCAGAGCTAAATCCTGCAGCCGATGCTGCTGTCGCCCTTAAAGCTGCCTGGAAGATAATACTAGCATCTTTAATCAAATCATGTTAAAAACCAAGATTTCCATGCTGTACATGAACAATCACTGTGTTCTATTAAACCCTTCAATCCTTCAGTCAGATTAGTAAACCATCAGATACAGTTTTTATTGGTTGTTTTGTCATGATCGCAGCCCTGGTAGCTGATCTAATTACTCACTTCATTCACCTGCTGTTCCCTCCCAGCTCTCTAATTATCATTCATCTCATCCACCTGCTCCTTCTGCCCAGCTATCAGGGCCAGATCATTATTTGTATGTTTCGTGTAAATTGTTCGTGTTTGTTTGTTTTTGAGTTGGATCTGTCAGTTCTGGTCGGTCTACGGAATTCTGGATCTCAGAACTGTCCTGTTCCGATCTGTTTTATGTGATCTGGATCTGGATCGGTCTCCTGGCTGCTCACTGGTGCTGCTGCATTGGGGACGCTCTGGGCGGCTTCCGCCACTTCTCGTTGGCAGTTCATCACCTGGATCCTGCCTCACCTCATCCTGCCTCAGAGGATGGGCTGAACCGCTAAACCAGGTAAGTGACTCACATTGATAATCATCTTTCGTCAGATTATCGTGGTCACTTACCTGCGTTTCTACCTCATCTAGAGCGCCAGAGATGAGCGATGCTCCGCCTTCCTCTGCAGGTACGCTGATCCACAGCAGCCCCAGGTCTGTTCTGTTCTGTCTTATATTTTATCGTTAAACTTTCTGACTGGCCTGAAAACTGGGTCCATCTGTCCTGTTTTATAACATGTTTGGTTAATCAATTAAATTGGTTGACCTGTAATCAATGGCTGATCAGTTTCTGATCAATATACTGCTTCATGCTGGTTGTTCCTGATCCTCTCTTAGAGTTCAGCTTCTGCAAGTTTTCAATTCACTAAATGACTCCAGCTTCAGGATTAACCCTGAAATTATGAAATGGACCATAAACTGAGTTATCAGATGTCCTTGTTTTATAGATATAATGTTTCTGCAGGGAGAGACGGATGTTTTCTCCTCACATCTCAATAAAAATAACAAAAATCTCAGATTATTTAAGCCTCCTTTGGTTTCTTCTACCCAGAATCCCAGCATTGCATGTAATGTCTAATATCACAGATCGAATAATAACGGCTTTTTGAGAGGAGATCTGATCTACATCAAGCTGATCGTGTTCTATGGAGAAAACGATGAGAAAAAACAAATAAAAACTATGATCATCAGGTTTATGTTATTTTTTTGATCCACTTTTCAACATTTTTTTTCTTTAGATTGTCTGTTAAATCTCAAAGAAAATACATTTTAGAGCTAAAAAATTATATTAGAAGAGCAAAGCTGGAAAAACAAAGACTTTTATCTAAAAAATGTTTGAAAGATAAAAACTGACCAAAGGTAAAAAACAAGCAAAGCAGGAAAAATGAAGTAAAGCAAAGATGTGAAATAACTAAAGCTGGAGACGCGGAAATGACTTTATGTTAATGAAATATCTCCGTTAAAAAACAAAACATTCTGGATCTTCTGTACCTGAAAGCAGCAGAAAAGATGAAGGTTCCTGAGATTCTCCTAGAAAACAAATCTGGATGTTTCCGGCTGATCTGATGGAGCACAGAGCTTCAGGATCCAGATGTTAAGTCCAAGAAGAGGAGCCCAGCAGCTGGAGTGGAGGACGGCTGCAGAGCTGCAGCTCAGAGGGAGGAAAGAGCCACTGACACGAAGCTAATGTCTATAAGAGATGTAGGTCTGTGGGTCAAAGCTGCAGCAGAACATCGTTACTGGGATTATCAGCTGACCTGCTGCTGTTTTAATCTCCTCACACTGAAATGATCTGATGAGGGAAACATGTCTGACACTCAGAGGTTTGGTGGACAGCAGCTCCAGTCTGTGTCCTCACTCTGCAAAAACTGTCTAGAAATAAGTAAGAAATTAAGTGTATATACCCTTAATTAAAGTATGTCGCAGTTTTGATTCTGTTTAAGTCTTCTTTTGAGTTTTCAGTTTTACTTTGATCCATATTTTTCTTTTTGTTCTAGTTTTGTTGGTTTAATTCCTATTTTGTGGTGTTTTCTGTATGTTCTTAGCTTTTTTTGTGTTGCCATCTGCTGCCCTCTTGTGTTGGTCTCCTTTTCCAGCTCCTTCTAGACTCCTCTGTTCACACCTGCTCCCAATCAGCTCATTAGTCCTGTCTTTGTTCAGTCTCCCATATAAACTCTCCCTATGAAATAGGAAAAAAGATATAATTATTTCAAGGCTAAGAATAGGTCACACAGCATTACACTACGGTCTTTTTAAAATAGGGAAACATGAAACAGGAAATTGTGACAAATTCGGAGATCCAGAAACAGTACAACATCTTATTTTTGAGTGTACTGCGTATGTAAGGGAGAGAATGAAGTTCATACAAGAGTTGAGAAAAATAGGGATTAATGGGAATTCAATAAAAGCACTGTTAGGAAACGAGATAAGACAAACAAGAGTTAATGAATTATTATTCAAATATCTAAAAGATACAGGAACAATTAATATGATTTAGTTGTAGGATTCTTTTTTTTTTTGGGGGGGGGGGGGGGGTATAGCGCAGTCTTTCAAAATTGTGCACGCCACACTCCAGATCAGTAGGTGGCGGAAATGCACCTTTTACGTTGGCCTGCCAATCCGCCATAAAACAACAGAAGAAGAAGAACTCTCCCAATGCAGTTCCTCAGTGCTGTTTCCTTGTCTTTCCCTGATATCTCCATGGTTCCGGTTTGTTCTGTATTTTTATGTTGGGTTTTTGGATTCCTGTCTCAGTTACTTGTAAAAACTCGATTAAAACTAAAAGAACTCACCTCTGCCTCCTCGCCTCTGCCTTTGGGTCCTCAAACCCTCAATCAAACCCTGACAGATCAGTTAAATAAGATGATCCGCCAATGGAATGAGTATTTTTACTCTTAAAATAAGATAACTTGAAATAAGACAATGTTATTGATTTTTCTTATTTTAAATGCAAGTTGTCTTGTTCCATTGGCAAAGTGTTGAACTTCCCTCCTCAATTCAGGACAAAATGCACTTATTTTTAGCAAAAATTACCTACTTAGAGTCCATTTTTTTCAGTGCACCTTATTCTGACTCGGGCAGCAGGTTAGAGGAACATCTGCTGCAGGAACAAACATCTGGAAAGTCCTTCAGTGGTTGGATTAGATTCAACTCATGTCCGTGATCTTTGGTTCCTTCATGTTTTTCCTTTTTAATGGAAATGATTTTTTTTTCTATAAAAACATAAATATTAGCTGAGAAGAAACAAGCAGGAAGATCCTGGAAAATCATCAACTATAATTTAACATGTTTGTTTAAGTCCAAGAAATCAAGTCAGAATATTCATGTCCGTCGCTGCATGTTGGTTATTTATTCTCCAGGTGCAGTTTTATGATGTTAAAACACTTTACAGTATTTTATTTTGTATCTTTTAACTCTTCACTATGATTTTATTCTTATACATTTTTCTAAGGTCCACATTTGTGTGAACATTTTTTCTATAATCTTTTTGCTGTAAACACCAGAATTTCCCCATTTTTTTTATCCCATTTTATAAACAAATTTTTCATGTAAATGAAACAAATACATTAGAATCAGTTATGAAAACTCTTTAGATTTTTCCTTTTATGTTTCATCAAAATCAATACATTTTCTAGAAGAAGTTTCGCCTCTAATCCAAGACGAACCTGAATGACTGAGATTATTTTAAAATGATTTGGCTTCCTGGAAACTATTATTTATTGTTTAAGGTTGGCTAAAAATAATAATCAAAAAATAAAAGGTTCTGCTGGAGGTTTCTTCCTGTTCAAAGGGAGTTTTTCCTCTCCACTGTCGCTACAAGCATGCTTAGTGTGAGGGATTGCTGAAGAGTCAATGAGTCGATGCAATCAGCTGGTTTTCCTTAGATAGAAAACTTTGAATCAATCTGACTGGATGATCTGGTGAACTGGAAAGTGATGATGTGTGTTTTGAATTGGCGCTATAGAAATAAAGTGAATATAAATAATTGTTAATAATTGTTCTGTTGTAGAGGACAGAAAATTAGACGCAGGCCAGATGTGTTTAATTTTCAGAAGTCTGTACAGCCGCCTGACATCGCATTAAAGACGGAAATGGAATAAAACGATGCATCAGGGTCTGACGTCTATCATCTGACTCTCCACTGCTGACCAGGAGATCAGGACTTCTGCATGGCTCAACCTGCAGCCCGTCACGTTCTCTTATCCTCCTCCTGTTTCAGACACTTTTTCTTCTGGTCTGTTCTCCTGAGATCCTTCCAGGTCTCTGTTCCTTCCAGGTTCTCCTTCATGCGCCCGCATTGCTGCTGCAATCAGCTGGAATCTGATCTCCTCTGGACCTTCAAAGGATGGAGCCACATCTTAAGCCTCCGTCTAACAGGAATCATCCATTTCTAGCTGAGCTTCTGTTGGAGCAGAACTACAAGGAACCAGGAAACGAAACATTTGAAGCCGTAACGATTAGACTTAGACAACTTTGTCATTCTGTATACAGAGTGTGAAGATTCTCAGTCATCCAGGTCAGAGTCATTCCAAAAAAGTAAAAAAAACTAAACAATCCACTGGACTTTATTTCCAAGTACGAAGATGTTTCATTTCCCATATATATATATATATATATATATATATATATATATATATATATAGATAGATAGATAGATAGATAGATAGATAGATAGATAGATAGATAGATAGATAGATAGATATGGTGCAAATATGCAGTATGTTTGGTTTAGTGTTACCAAAAAGGTCTGCAGAAGGTTTCTAATGTCAGCAGGTCAGATGGTTTGAATGTTCTCAGACAGGAAGGTTTTCTCTCTCAGTCTTTACCTGCCAGAAAAGCTCTGACCTGAATCCCTGCAGTTTTATAATATTCATCAGCTAAAAGAGGAATTAGGGTTAAATTGGGTCAATGTTCTGATTATTGCTTCAACACATTGTTTCATAACAGAATCCAGGTGGAAGTGGAGCCGACAGCAGGTCCTCCATTTACCATGCAGACAAGAAACAGCTGGATGAATCAGGATTCATTTACAGTGTCCACCAGGGGGCAGGATTACAGTTTTTTATTTTTTTTTATTTTTTTTTTTAGAGCAGCCGCTGTCTCTGGAGTCCAGCTGTAGGAGCAGCTGTGAATATCCCACACCATAAAGTCAGGATTAAAAGGAGAACAGCACATCATCTAGCAGTTTTTACATTAGAATTAATTCCATTATGTCACCTTTAGAATGGTTGCTTCATGATAATGTTAGGAAATAAAATCAATATATAATTGCATCAGATAGTCAAGCTGCTTAATTAAGTATCAAATGTGGCAAGTTTTGTAGATTAGATTAATTATTAGATATAAATAAATTATTAGTTCAGCTTCATAATAAGAAATGTTTTGTTCGATTTGTTTGGATTCCTGTTCATGTAGGCAGAAAAGGAAACAAAAAAGTAGATATTAGCTAAACGGGCCTTAGAATCAGATATTATTAACTTTAGGATTCCTTTAATTAAAGTGAGGGTAAATAATTCAGAATGCAATCTGTAAGGTTTGGGAGGAACACACATCAACTGAGAACCAGTCATCCTGGACTTAATGGTTCTCTTATGAGAATATGGAAACATGAAACAGGGATTATTAATTCCTGTTATTAGATGGAAACAGTGGAACATGTTTTATAGGAATGTAGAAAGGATTTAGAGGAACATCAGCAGGAATAATATTATATAATATGTTTGCAGGGTTTTAATGAATTTAGCGTTAATCAGTAAAAAAATAAAAACAATCATTTTCGTTGCAATCACTGAGTCTGGGAGCGGCCATTTTTGTCCAAATATAGTAGCCCCTCCCTCCTGCCATCTTCCAGCAGTGATGTCACGGTGCGGTAAGCCTAGCGCCATTCTCCCCGCTTTCCAAACTAAATCAATGGGAACTACTAGACACATCTGCAATCAACAACAATTATTGAAGATTTCCAGAGGACTTCACCATTGAAATTCACCAGAGCTATAGTGAAACTGACAATGCCCACGTGCATGGCAGCTGGATGCTGGAATACATCGGGTAAAAGTGAAAGAAAGAGTTATTCCACCTTTCTGATTCCTGATCCTCCACGGACGGGTTGGTCGTTGGATCGCCAACTTGAAGAGGGAGGATTTGCCATCGAACTTCTGGCCAGAGAAAAAACCCGTAATATGTAGCCGACATTTGGAAGAAGAATGTTTTCAAGATGACTTGGATAATAGCGCGTTGTGACAAACACCAGATACAGCACTGGGACTTGATCAACAGCCGATACCGCACCGTGACGTCACTAACCAGTAGATGGCAGTAGTGTTCTTTGACAGACATGGATGCCTCCAGTAAAGCACATTCACATGAAAATGACTCTGAATTAAAAATTTTACTGCCATATTTTTTGGTTTACATGTTTTATTTTGTATTATGCAAATTTTTTGTTATTATGAGTCTTATTTTGAAAGGCCTCTTTAGGAAGTGGAATCTAGCATGTTCGCTGAAAAACTAGAAGAAAAAGATGCACACAGCATGAAGGCATGACATTTGCAAGAAGTTTTACAGAGAAATTTTAGTTTAAAAGGTCCTTTATTTCTCATTTCTACCTCAAAAGGAAAGGTCAGCCAGCGAGGTATGTTTATA